TTCCTCCAAGGATGGCAGCTCTGTCCTGGTGATGCACTGAGCAGTTATTCCCACCCTCTGTAAAGCCTTATGGCTGAGGGCAGTGCAACTGCCATACCAGGTGTTAATGCAGCCAGTCAGGATGGTGTTGCACCTGCAGAAAGGTTCAGAGTATCCTGGAGTCCATTTTGAGCCGCCTCATCCTGTGGAGGAAGAAGAGCCGTTGTCTGGCTGTCTTTGTGAGGGTGTCAGTGTGGTGAGTCCAGGTCAGGTTCTTGCTGATGTGGACCCAGAGGAACCTAAAGCAGCTGGATGTCTCCACCGTAGTCCCGTGTATTCTGATGTGTCCTACCTGTTCTTCCTGTTTTCCACTATCAGATGCCTTGTTTTGTATTTTGAGCTTTACAGTAAAGACATTGAACCTGTTAAAATGGGCTTTTATTATAATCAGAGCTTATTAGTTCCAGATATGTTGTACAAAATTTGCATAATTTTTCCACTCATTTAGGAAAGTAGTGGTGTCTGTGGTTTAAATGTTAACAGGAAGTTACAGTTTTCCAATACGAGTTTGTATTTCGTTTTTCTCCACAGGCCAGCTGAAAGCAGTGGTTCCTCTTGAGCAGCAGGAGTGGAGCCCCAGTCTGGACCAGGAGGACCCACCAGAGACTCCACACAATAAGGAGGGGTGCAGTCCGAGTCTGGACCAGGAGGACCCACAAGAGCACATACACATTAACGAGGAGTGGAGCCCCAGTCTGAACCAGGAGGACCCACCAGAGCCCCCACACATTAAAGAGGAACAGGAGGAACTCTGGACCTGTCAGGAGGGAGAGCAGCTTCGAGGGCTGGAAGAGGCTGATATCACCAGGTTCACATTTACTCGTGTTGTGAAGAGCGAAGAAGATGATGAAGAAGAGAAACCTCAGTCCTCACAGCTTCATCAAAGACTCACTGATCAAATGGAAACAGAAGCTGATGGAGAGGACTGTGGAGGACCAGAACCAGCCAGGAACTCAGATCTATATAGACCTTCACGACCAGCTACTCATGAAAAGACGTCTCACCCCTCTGAACCTGAGACTGATAACAGTTGTGATTTGGAAGAGACCAGGGAACCTCAGTCAGGTTCCAACCTTCTGAAATATAACAGTAGATGTAACACTGGTGAGAAACTGTTTAGCTGCTCTGTGTGTGGTAAACCATTTCGCTATAACTCAAAGCTAAAGAGACACATGAGAATTCATACAGGAGAGAAACCTTTCAGTTGTTCTGTATGTAGTAGACGATTTGCACAAAGTTCAAATTTGACCTCACACTTGAGAGTTCATACAGGAGAAAAACCTTTCACATGCTCAGTTTGTAAAGCAAGTTTCAGTCTCAGACGCAATTTGTCCACCCACATGAGAATACATACTGTGGAGAAACCGTTCATTAGTTCAGTATGTGGTAAAACATTTGCACAAAAGGTATATCTGAGACAACACTTGGGTGTCCACACAGAGGGAAAACCCTTCAGTTATTTTGTCTGTGGTACAAGATCCACTCAAAGCTCAACTTTGACCTCACACTTAAGAGTTCATTCAGGAGACAAACCGTTCAGCTGCTCAGTCTGTAAAGCAAGTTTCAGTCGCAGAAGTAATTTGTCCACACACATGAGAATGCATACTGGGGAGAAGCCCTTTTGTTGTTCAGTATGTGGTAAAGCATTTACACGAAGTGCAACTCTGAGAGAACACTTGACTGTCCACATGGGAGAGAAACCCTTTAGTTGCAGCAATTGCGATAAACGATTCTCTCTGCGCCGTTATTTCAAAAAGCACAAGTGTGCTGGTGAGAGCAGCAGACGTAAATGAAGCACGGGTTCAGATTTTTCAAGCTTGTAATTTGGAAGAAGCAAGTAAGTAGATGGCGATAACTTGCTGTTAACAAAGAGGTTTCTCTGCAGAACATGTCCTTTCTCGCAGCTCCTTCTAGTCTGTCAAGTTTTCTTTTCATCAAATCTTCCAGTGAATAAAGAACACTTTTACTTGTTTCTGGTGTTGTCTAAAATCAAGTTTTATTTTTATTGATTTCTCCTCATTTATGATGTGAATCTAGAAAGAGGACAGACTGATGCTGATTGATGTCTGAGTTCCTCATTCTTTTTAACCATCACTCAGTATTTTGAATGCCAGATATTGAGTCTATATAGTGACTGTGCTGCTGTAAACTTTACTGCTGTTGTGAAAGCAGCGTTGTGTTAAATTTAGAAAAATGAAATTCTAATCGTGAATTTAAAAACATCCAGGCAGCTAATATGCACATTTAAATATTTATTTTTCACATATTGTCATCGCAATATTGCCGATTCTCCTCACATCATGCAGGCCTATTATGGATTGATAAGACATTTATAGATCATCTGTAGCATTTATTGTAAATCATCATTATGAAGGAAGTGAAGTTAAATATTTGCCAATATTTTGGAGCCTACAACAAGCAGTTTCTGGCTGTTTCATGTTTCTCTAATGATGAGAAAATAGGTCGTAGTCCACCATGATCATTTTCATAAACTCATCTAATTGTATCTGTAGTGACATAATAAACAGGTGAATGAAAAAACTTGTGTAGCAAACGTTTGTGTGATTCTGCTCATATGCTGTTGTTCAGTAACTCAGGGTGTTAGTGGACTGCTATGAGCTTTTGTTGATGAGGGAGAAGAAATCAAAGGACAATAACTCTGGTTCTGCTGCATCAATTTGAATGTCCCATTGGGAGTCTTACAGTGTTATAGTAGTAGCCTACTCTCCTCCTCACATAGTCTTTGCACTGTTTATTGTCTTTGTGAAGAAACTAATGAGGCTTCAAACAGCTGGAGGCCCCCTCTCCCATACTGTCTCCACATCAGTCCACAGAAGTTAAGTTCCCGGGACCCGAAACTAGACCAAAGTCTAGTAAGGCAAGGTCTTGTAAAGCTGACTTCACTTTTTGAAAATGAATTAAAGTCAATGTCAGGATCTGCAGAGGATCTGCACCCACCTGCATTTCGCAACTCCCTACAATATTAATGTTTACTAGTTCATAAAGCTGGGTTTAAAACCGAAAAATTCAAATGACTGCTCATTTGTACCTAGTGGAGGCCGCAGGCTGTCTAAGGCTGTGCACTTTGTTCCCCATGTTGAACTTCCTGATACTGACTGCAGACCTTCTTATCCAGCATATTTGTCACTCCAATGGTATCCCTCAGGATATTGTGTCAGACAGATGTCCGTAGCTTTTGTCATAAGTCTGGAAGGCTTTCTGCAAGGTGGCTGGGGCGACAGTCAACCTCTCATAAGGGTATCATCCTCAAACCAAAAGGCAGACGGAGCAGGCCAACCAGGATTTGGAGTCAGCTTACCAGTGCATTTCAGCGCATCACTCCTCCTGGAATGGCCAAATGTCTTGGGTAGAATATGCCAACAACTACCTCTCCTGTGCGGCCAGAGGTTTTAAACCATTTACGATGGGATACCAACGTCCTCTCTTTCCAGACCAAGACCATGTAAATGTTGAATTTCACCACCTTACTAAGTGACAACAAAGGTAAACTGACAGAGACCTCTAAATTCAATCACAAAACACACAGCAATCTTAACAATAAAGTTAGTAGGTCATAATTACGGAAGACATGACGACATATAGTGAGTGCACATTTACTGGTTAAATAAACATTTCTGTGGAAAAGGGGCTATTTGTTGCAAAGGTTAGTCAGTTACAAATTAATTCTCTACAAACAAGTCATATTCTGTTGTACATTGAAGCCACTGCATTACTCTCTTCAAACTGACATTGGGTTCATCATTACAAACGCACTCAGCGCTGCCAAGCTTTGTTCAAAGCCACAACATTTATTTAGAGCCTAATACAGATCCAAGGTTTCAGAACATAACAAATATTGTTCACTGTTCAGTTTGTTCAAAATATGTAGTTTAATTGAATTTCCATTATGTTGTTATACTGAGAACATTAAATACATTCTTCCAATTTTATAGATTATCTTCACTTGCGTGACATAATTGGAGGGTTTGCTGTGTATTATACATACTGGAGTGTATAGAGAGAAGACAGATCTGAGACATTTCCTCAGAATTGTGAGAGGAGCTGTGCCATGTTTCAGTCTTACACAATATCACAGACAGACAACTCCTAATAGTGTTCACAGTATAAATAGTACAGAGGTAAGTGATCCTTTGGACCAAATAAACTACATTATGACATTTCTTATGTCTGTGTTTTTAATTAAACATACCTCAAAACTGTTTTACCTGAACTCCAGCAGCGTGTCTACACCCCTACCAGGGGAAGTAATATCTGAATCAATTTAAGAAATAACATATGCATATTGCAACCTGTCCAGGGTGTACCCCGCCTTTCGCCCAATGTAAACTGGGATTAGCTCCAGCCCGCTGCGACCCTGCACAAAGGATAAGCGGTTGACGATGGATGGATGGATGGATGGAAGGATGGATGGATGGATCTTCAGATCAAACGGAGCATCTGGATATTTGGGAAACAAAATGGCTCACTCATTGGCTACTTCCATACACGTTTTATGTAATTTACTTTTTGTCATATATCAATTATTAATTATTAAATAATAGTAACAATAATAATTATTACTTTATTTAATAGAAATCTTGATGTCATGTATACCCTTATCCCCAACAGTATGTTGAGAGAGTTGTTGTTTACTGTTATCAATCTTCATTCTAGATTTGTGTGTGTGTGTTTATTGCAGTTGTTTAGTTGTTTTGTTGCAGCAACAAACCTCCAAGTTACTACAGAGACATATCCCTCTGCCTGGCTCAGCAAGGAAACAGTCTGTGGAAACATAAAGGGAATTTCGTTGAAAAGAGACTAACTTCGAAAGAACCCAATAATATGACTTCTTTATTTAGTCCTGATGCTACATAATCCGGTCCAGCAGGTGGCAGCATGCACCTTTAATGTTGCTCCGTAGTCTGCTCACAAAACCAAACAAGAAGAAGAAGAAGAGCTGTACTTCCGGTGGCTAACATGCTAACTTTTCCTTCACGTTACCGTAAGATGCAGCCGGAGTTCAGCAGCAGAGCCTGCATGTGAGGATAAACGTGTTTAAGTGGACTCCTCAGTTTCACCTCCTGTTAGCTAAGAATGCTAAAGGAAGTTAGCTTGTTAGCAGGAAGTAGCCGGAGCCGGAGCTCGGCCTCACAGTCGGAGCAGCTTCCATAGAGACCAAACTGTATTTTTCACGGAGCCCAAATGTCCAAATGTCCAGATAGAGCTGTCTGAATAGACTCTGTGCTGTTCCCTTTATCTGAACATGTTTAACATCTGAATTATCTCCCGGTGTCCTACGAAGCTAATGCAGTTAGCTTAGCTTGCTAGCTGGAAACAGTCTGGAGGAAAAGCTGCTGTGAATCAGTAAAAATGTCTAAAGTGGAGAACGAGGAGGAACTTTGTGGACAACGCAAACTACTGGACGCTGTTTTCAAGCCTGAAGCAGGTTTGTGCACTTTACTGCTTATTCTCACGGTAAACTGCCTTTACTGCAGTAAAAGTACTAATACCACTCTGTGAAAATAGTGAGGCTTCAGCCAAAGTGAGTTCCAGCAGATGATAGAGACTTCTGGTTAAATAACGTTCAGTTAGTTGCATTTAGATTCCAAAAACAGTGCACAAAAGAAATCCTATATTTTATCTAGATTTACCAGTGTGACAGTTTAAGTGGTAGCTAAATTAACTGGTCTTCAGGATCCTTTGACTGCAAACCAGGAAATACGTTCCAATAACTTTGTTAATTTTACGCAATGTATCGTCACGTAGATAAGATCTTATCCTGCCCGTTGATTCACAGGGATCCCTCCAACCTGCACATTAATTCAAAGCGAGAACTGGACATGATCAGGTAGGTGACTGCGTCGATGCCTGTCAAAACGCTACAAACGTCAATAAATCATCCAGATGTTCATGTTGTTGGTCTGATTTGTGCCACAGTCGGTTTTAATGTGTTTGTAGTTATATACATAAGTGAAACAGTCTGAGGTGTTTATCGCTCAGCTGGAATGCAGAGTGGAGATCGCTGTCAGCTGATAAGCATCGCACCATCACCACATTTATATTCCACACTCTCTGCTATCAACAACATTATACTACCAGTCTTACATTTGTTAATTATCTGACGTCAAGGTGATCTGAAAACAGTTTATACTGTCATACAACCTGTAAGTGAAACAGTCTGGATGTTTACAATCCGCCCGAACTCAGCGTGGAGTATGTGGCAACGGTACTGTATGCTCAAATGAACTACAACGGCTGTATCTACCGTCGCTCATGTCTCATATCACTCACTCATTTGGCAGACAGACACAGAAGTTGGAAGCAGGGGTGTAGAAACTTAAATCAGCTGGGAATGTTGTATACCATGGAAAGGTATGGTCTGTGTGGGTGTGTGAGTAGGGTGAACAGTGATGAATGCATGTAAAATGTGAGTGAACAGTGTTTCAGAATAACTGGCTGGTTTTCCTACCGGTCACCATTTAGACCCACCAAAATCAAACACTAACTGTGAGGTTGAGTAGGGCCACTGCCGACACCGAACTCCCCTCTGATACATAAACTCAGTGGGCAGTTTCACTCTCTTTTTATCACTGGGTATGCATTTGCTCAATCTGCAACAACATGGCACTTTGAAGATGGCCCATGAACCCAAATCGCTCCTTCACATGTGCCTTACCATCAGTTGCTATTTGTTGGTAGTTTTCAGATTAGGCAGTCTGTTCTGTGAAGAGGCCACTTGGAGGGATCATGCGCATTCTTGGCACAGAGTGGGAAATGATCCATTACACAACCTCTGTATGGTATCAAAAACCAACTCCAAACCAAAGTAAAAATCGGTGTGACGAGACTAGATCCTATTTTAACACCGTTTTTTAAGAAATCCTAAATGCCGAATCATATGAAAATTTTGAGCATTTAAAACTTAATTTCCTGCATTCTGTTTAAGTTTTCAGAATCAATTTATGGTGGAAATGGTTTTATTTATGTCAAGGGGCACACAAAATTCAGGTGACAATTCGATTATCTAAAACTACAACAGAATATAATTCAGTGCAGTCTGTCATTCTGTGTTGCTCTCAGATATGTTTCAACTTTTATATCAACAACCCGAACACACCAGCTGTCTCTTGATTTAAGTTAAAATGTTTCAACATTAGTCAAAATGTAAAGACAGATAAGTGGTATGAAAACCTTACAGCAAGAAGAAATTAAATTTTTTATAAAACGTGTATGCATTTCATTCTCTACAGATGTCCAGCTGCTGTTGGTAAGGACAGAAGAGGTTCCCCCTGAGCAGCAGGAGTGGAGTCCCAGTCTGGACCAGGAGGACCCACCAGAGCCCCCACACATTAAAGAGGAACATGAGGATCTCTGGACCAGTCAGGAGGGAGAACAGCTTCAAGGACTGGAGGAGGCTGATATCACCAAGTTCACATTCACTCCAGTTCTTGTGAAGAGTGAAGAAGATGATGAAGAGAAACCTCAGTCCTCACAGCTTCATCAAAGACTCACTGAACTGGAGAAAACAGAATCTGATGGAGAGGACTGTGGAGGACCAGAACCAGCCAGGAACTCTGAAGTAGATGGACATCTACAACAGGCCACTGACAAGACTTCACACTCTGAACCTGAGACTGATGACAGTTGTGAATGGGAGGAGACCAGGGAACCTGGTCAGGTGAAGTCATGTTCAGACCCTCTGCAAAATAACGGTGGATGTACCACTGGTGAGAAATCATTAGCTGCTCTGAGTGTGGTAAATTATTCAGCCAAAACTCAAATCTGAAGAGACATATGAGAATTCACACAGGAGAGAAAGCATATAGTTGTTCATTTTGTGGTAAAGGATTTATACGAAGTTCAAATTTGACCACACACCTAATAGTTCATACAGGAGAAAAACCTTTCAGCTGCTCAGTTTGTAAAACAAGTTTTGGTGACAGAAGCTCTTTGTCCAGACACAGGAGAATCCACACAGGGGAGAAACCATTTATTTGCTCTATCTGTGGTAAAAGATTTGCAGAAAGCTCTAATTTGACCTCACACTTAAGAGTTCATACAGGAGAAAAACCTTTCAGCTGCTCAATTTGTAAAACAAGTTTCCGTGACAGAAGCTCTTTGTCCACACACATGAGAATACATACTGGGGAGAAACCATTTAGTTGTTCAGATTGTGGTAGAAGATTTGCGAGAAATACACTTTTGAGACAACACTCAACTGTCCACACAGGGGAGAAACGCTTACATTGTTTTGTTTGTGGTAAAAGATTTGCTGAAAGCTCAAATTTGACCTCACACTTGAGAGTTCATACAGGAGAAAAACCTTTCAGCTGCTCAGTTTGTAAAGCAAGTTTCAGTCAAAGAAGTGCTTTGTCCAGACACGTGAGAATCCACACGGGCGAGAAACCATTTAGTTGCAGTGTTTGTAATAAAAAATTCCCTCGGCTCGATTACCTCAAATCACACAACTGTGCTGTTGAGAGCAGGGAAAGTAAATAAAGCTGCAGAGAAGCCTTGTGATCATTTTAATTAAGGTTTTATTAGTGTCACAATATTTGGTTGTTTTCAGGGTGCGTTTTGGTATTACTTATTCATTGATTTAAAATGGATTAAAATTGTCTTAGTATTTTACGTCACCTGTACAGCACTGTGTTCAACGTTTTTTTTTAAATATAGTTTATAAATGAAATGACTTGAGTTATCTCCCAACAACACAGTTTATTTCTAATTGAATGGACTTGAGCTCATTATGTGTAAAACCTGAACAGTTGATTCTGAAACTGCTCATACTGTATTTGTGTTAATTTAGAAGTAGTTTGTAATAGTATATCTTTATTTGTATAGCGTGTTTCAGTACCAAAAAAATGCTTTACAGCAATCAATGTGAAACATAGATACACGGTATCGCACACAGTGTGGTGTGCAACGAATCACGTAGTGGTTTGGATAAAGTAAATAAAACATAAATCAGTCAATAAACAAATAACGGAGGAATACAGCACACATTGAAAGCTGTTTTGCATAAATGAGTCTTCAGAAGTGAGATGGAACCAGGAGCAGACTCTGATCTCCTCTGGTAGACTGAGGGGCCCTGATAGCCGAGATCCTGCCTCCTTTGATTTTTAACCTAGACCTTGGAATAGTTAGCAATGTCCTACCAGAGGATAAAAGCTCAAAGATTTGAAAGTGCTGGCCCATGTCTGGCCTTAAAAGTAAAAAAGTCAATCCTTAAAGATTGAAGAAGAAATTTTTACACAAGGTAAACGTCAAGCTGCAGCATTTTGGTGGTGAATTGATTTAGGTATATTAAATTATAATTTATTATTTAGAAAACCTGATAGATACAAGTTACATGATCCAACTGTAAATAATCATTATGCAGAAAGTAAAGTACTTGCAAATTTTTTGGAATCTAAAACAAGCAGTTTCTGGCATTTTCATGTTTTTCTAATGAAGAGAAAAAGGTCGTCGTCCACCCTGATGATTATGTTCATCTAATTTTATCTATAGTGACATAATAAATGGGTGAATAAAAAAATAATGTAGGATCATGTGGATCTAAAAACCAGTGTCCAAAATAATGACATGCCAACAATAAACAGATGGCAAAAGAAAGAGCAAAGGCTCTGAGAAAGTCCAGTTATGAGAGAAATATGACCCCTGGGAAGGTTCCTGTCTTTTTATTAGACTGAACAAACGCTTACATGTTCACGTTTCATAATGCAGATACTCACAGCACAGTATGACAAAATATAGCACTGTTTTTCAAATTATAATTCACACTGTTTAGTGGCTCTCAGCTGTCTGTGAGTCTTCTTAGTATACTGAATTGTTGGTCCCATATCTCGATGTGTGCTATTTCTAAAGCTCACTTCTGCTCATATAATACACATAGAAATCTATACTTTAATGTGTTTATTCTCCTACAAGCACTGCAGTAATACATCTTTTGACTGGTACAATGACGTTTACTCTGATATCCACTGGATGGCAGCAATATCTCAATGAACTACATGCAAAAACAGGGAAAACCAACTGTTCCACTTTTTATGAACATTTCTGCTGATGTTTGTTGTTTATTAGTTTATGTGGAGGAACAGTTTCAGAAACTTCAGGACTTAATAAGAGACACTATTAACCCCTTTTAAACGTGACTTATTAAGACTAATAGTTCAATAAAATGCAGAAAGACAATTATTTTAGACTGTAATGTTTTAAAGGATTTATTCAGGGCTGGATTCACAGTTATTAAAAGAAGTTTAATAGATAGGACAGTGGCAAGAAACGAGGGAGAGCAGATGGGTGACAGGTTGGATTCAAACCCGGGTCGCTGCAGCAAGGGCTCAGCCTTGTACATGGGCTACCAGGTGAGCTAAACCTCGCCCCTGCCTTCAGCGTCTTTGTAAAAGACAATTGCAGTGAATGCAACAGAAGATTAGATGTGGAGTTCTAGGTCCTTTTAAGTTCCTCTCAAAATGTGTCCAGTTCACCACCTGAAGACAAAAGAATAGAAGGTTAATGTCTAAAACGTAGATTCTGATTTTTCTTATGTGAAATTTTCTGATACCAGTGTTTCCTCAGATGATGCTATCTCACTGCACACTGCTTTAATTCACCTTGAAAAGAAAAATACCTATGTCAAAATGATGTTTATTGATTGTAGCTGTAATTTTAATACAGCTGTTCCATCCAAACTGCTGTTAAAACTCAGAGGTCTTGGTTCTGTAATTGGCTATTTGACTTCCTGACAGGCTGAGTAGGTAAAACATACTCGTCTGAATTACTCCTTAGGACCGGCTTGCCTCAGGGCTGCTGTCTCAGTCCACTACTGTACAGCCTTTTCACTCACGACTGTGTCGCCAAATATAACAACAGCGTCATATAATTTGCATATGACACCATATTGATTGGACTAACAGTGATGAGAGGGCCTCTGAGGGAAGCGGACGTTCTATCCATATGGTACATCCTTCTAAATGTCAATAAGACAAAGAAAATCATTGTTGACTTCAGGAGGATCAGGAAATCACACCAACTGCATCCTCAAGAAGGTGCAGCAGAGATTGTACTTTCTGAGGCACCTTTTTAGTATGAATACCAAGGCTCTTGAGAACAACTATTGCTGCACCACAGATAGTATTCTGACAGGCTGCATCACTGTGTTGTTTGGCGACCTGACTGCTCAGGACCACAGACAGCAGGAAAAAGGATTGTCCGAGAACTATCACAACTCCATGATATTCACTCCATCTGCTGCAAAAACAAAGCCCTAAACATCTTTAAGGACACCAGCCACCCTGCTCATGCTGTTTTGTTCACTCGTCCCATCCAATAAACGTTACCAGAGCATCAGATCACAGAAAAACCGACTCAGTAACTGCTTCTTTTGCAGGCAGTCAGGTTGCTAAATAGCTGACGCACCACACACGTTTTGTAAAACATGAATTGCTATCGTGTAATATTATTGTATGTTGTATTAAATATTGTGTGTTGTATATTGTGCACTTCACACTTACTTGTAAATATTTAATGTTATTGGGTATGTATATGGTGTCAGAGCCAGAGTTCAAACATTTCATTGTATTCTTAAACACATGATAATAAAAAGTTGAACCATGAACCTATTAAATTACACTTCAGGTCATTTTAGCAGTGGAACCTCGTCTTAAATTCGAACTTTGGCCCAAACACACACAGAATATTTCTGGATGTTCCAGTGCATTTTTTAGATGCGGAGCCTCTCTGTCTCTCACAGGATACCATTCGCTCTAAAAGATTGGTGTAGACTGAACTCTGCATGGCTCCTCTGCCTCGTGTTGGGTTGGACAGGTTAATTTTACATCAAGGGAGTGATATGCTAATTACATAATAATACCATACTCTTTGTAATATTATTTACAGACCAAACAGTTCCCACCATGAGCAAGCACTACAGGTAGAAACCTCAAGCAGAACCTAAACTGAGGATGGGCGGCAACTCCATTTTTGACTCTCGTTCTCCGCAAGAGGGGAAATTCAGAAGTTACAGCAGCACAAAGACAGAAATAAGTACAATTAAAATGAAGAAATGTACAGAATAAATGGTTATTAGTATTTAAAATTAAAGTAGTATATAAAATTAAAATAAGAATAAAATGGAAACTATACAAGAAACATTTTACTTAAATAACCTTAAACAAATCTCTTATTAATGCTTCCACCACTCTATTATATTTCCACACAGCTTATCTGTTTTATTACCATCCTTGTTCTTGTCTTTATTATCGACTATTTTATTCATTTTTATTTGTTTTATTTTGATTGTCTGATTTTATTTACCTCAGTGCAGAAATGTTTTAATCCTGTTTCAACCATGTAAAGAACTTTGTAATTTTGTTTTGAAAAGGGCTGTATAAATAAAGTTTATTGTTATTATTTTATTTTGTGTTGTACTTAAACTAATACTGCAATACCTACTCAAGCAAAGGGAATGTAAAAGTAATATGATACAGTCAGATATGTATCAACATAACAGTGGACACCAGATTATTATTATTATTATTATTAGTGTGACTATGTAATTATACTTGTTGAGTTGTCTGTATTAATATGCATATTTATAACATTATGCTTTTGTACTCTTTACATTGTGGTATTTTCTATATTTACTTCAGTAAAGGATCTGGATTCTTATACCGTCCTTAATACTTACAGAGATGAGCCTGTAAAATAAGGTTTGATAACCTTTATTTTGAAAATCATCAAATTTTAAGCAAGTGTACTTCCGGCGGTTAACATTACTACGGTAGCGCGTCCGTTACCATGGTTATACACGCGCAGTGCAGCAGCCTGCATGTGAGGATCAACGTGTTTAAGTGGACTCTGTTTAAACTTTCGGGATGTTTCACCTCAGACTCATCTCCTGTTAGCCAAGAATGCTAAAGGAAGTTAGCTTGTTAGCAGGAAGTAGCCGGAGCCGGAGCTCGGCCTCACAGTGTGTATTTTATCAGAGTGAGCTGCGTGTCTGTAACGGAGTGTGTCTGGAGGAAAAGCTGCTGTAAACATGTCTAAAGTCCAAACGCTGAGAGCTTTTGTCCAGCAGCGACTAAGTGCGGCTGCTGAAGAGATATTTGAGCTGTTTGAAAGAACGATAGCAGAGTACGAGGAGGAACTTTGTGGACAACGCAAACTACTGGACGCTGTTTTCAAGCCTGAAGTCCGGTTACACAGAGCAGGTTTGTGCACTTTACTGCTTATTCTCGCTGTAAACAGCAAATCGAAAATTTGCTCAAATATTTCTAGATTTGAGCACCGGCTTGGTTAGCTAGCGAGCCCTCTGGTCCCACAGTCACTCAGACCACTGCAGCCAACACAGCAGACAACTCCAGCAAAAATGACAAAGGAAAGGCCCAAAACTGTAAGATTTTAATGTTTGTACCGCTGTTATTCTGTCATTACACTCTGGGTAATGTTGTAACATTTTAAATTAAACCAAGAGACATCTGGGTCATGAAGAGAGTTCATGAAACCTAGAATCACTTTGGGAAAAAATATTCCATAAACAATATGAAAGGGACTGTCGCTGACTCAGCCGACCTGATTTCCTCGGGCAGGCTGTTCCAGAGCCTCGGGGCCCTGACAGCAAACGCTCTGTCCCCTTTAGTTTTCAGTCGAGACTCTGGAACAGACAACAGACCTCTGCCCGAGGATCTCAAGGTACGTGCTGGTGCGTATAGGACTAAAGGTCAGAAATATAACAAGGCGAGAGGCCATGAAGAGCTTTAAAAGTGATCAATAGAATTTTAAAGTCAATTCTAAAACATACTGGGAGCCAGTGTAATGAAACAACAACACTTGACGGTCCACACAGGGGAGAAACCATTCAGTTGTTCAGTTTGTGGTAAAACATTCACAGTAAGCTCAAACTTGACCACACACTCAAGAGTTCATACAGGAGAAAAACCGTTCACTTGCTCAGTTTGTAAATCAAGATTCAGTGACAGAAGCGCTTTGTACAGACACAGGAGAATCCACACGGGGGAGAGACCATATACTTGCAGCATTTGTGGTAAAAGATTCATTCGGCACGATCACATCAAAAAGCACAAGTGTGCCAGTAAGAACAGTGGAAGCAAATGAAGCTGCAGAGATGCTTGTTGAGCCGATTCCTTTCAGCAAGATTGAAGTACTGAGGGCAAAACTTGACGCAATAAGATAAGTTGGTAAGTTCAAAAATAAGTCTTGCTTCTTTTTAACCAAGATGAAGTCACGTGTTCATTTTAAATCTGTTTTTATTTGTGTTTAAATTATTTTGTCATTTTCCGGGTGCTCTTTGATGTTACATTTATTCACTGATTTAAAATGGATTGAAATTGTCTAAAGTACATCACTATGGTTAATGTGTTGTTTTAAAGTCTGGAATGACTGGACTTTCCTTCCAACAGCACAGTTTATTTCTAATTTACATGACCAAAACAACTTGTGCTTAATCTTTTCAGCTAAGATGAAGCCATGTGAATATTTTAATGTTTTTATGTGTCTCCATTATTCTGAAATTTTCCAGGAACTGTGTGTTTTTGTATTACAGTTGCCTAAAAGTATTTGTTGTCACCTGTACAGCACATGTACAGGTCAACATGTGTTGTTTTAAAATGTGGTTTATAAGTAAAATGACTTGACTTGAGCAGTGGGAGTAAATGAAGCTGCAGAGATGCTTGTTGAGCCAGTTCCTTCCAGCAGGATTAAAGTACTGAGGACAAGTCTTGGCTCAACACTGTTTTTATCTGTCACATTGTTTGGTCGTTTTCCAGGTGATTTTTGGTATAACATGAATTTGAAATGGAAGAAAGTTCTCAAAGTGTTTATGTCACATGTGCTGCACTGTTTCTAAATGAAATGAGTTTATTTTTTAATTGAATGGACTCCCGGTCTTGAATTGATCTCATTATATGTAAAACATGAACAGTTGATTCTGAAACTGCTCATACTGTATTGTGTTATTCCGGTCAGATCGCAAGTGTTTAGACAAACTTTGATTTCACACAGTTTGACAGCTGATGTGTTGGATTTACCAAGTTCCCTTTAAAACAGTTCAGATTTTTCCAGCCTGTTTGTGTGCACTACTCAGCTGCCATATGTTTGTTGAGAGAGTTGTTGATGCTGTAATGATTCTTCACCTGGGTATCTTTATCCCGGACTTGTATTTATGTTTGTTGCAGTTTGCAGTTGTTTTGTTGCAGCAATAAACCTCCTGTCATGGTTCTTGTTTCATGTTTTGTGTTTCCTCTGTTCAGCCTTGTTTATCCTTATGTTTATTTGCAAGATCTGCTTAGTTTTTATTCCTGTGTCTTTGTTCTGAGATCTGCTCATTGTTTCCCGTTTTGATGTATTCTGTGTTATGTTTCTTTCATCCTGGTCCGCTTGTTGGTCTGTCTTGTCTGTGTCCTCATTTGTTTCTGTATTGTGATCATAGTATGTTTAGTGCCTGTCTGTGTCAAGTTATGGTTGTCTCACATAAACTTTAAGGATCAGCTACAAGTCAGTCAGGAAATAAGTAGATGATGATAACTTGTCATTACCAAACATGTTTCTCTGCAGAACATCTTACAACCAGGGCATTATTTGTATTTTTGGTGGAAGTATTAAGATCCTTTATTTCATTAAAAGTACAGCAGTGTAAACGTTCTACATTACCATTACCTCCAAGTAAAAGGCCTACATGAAAAATCCTACTTCAATAGTACAAAAGTATGATTGTATGAAGAAGCCAATTGGAGTAAAAATCATGGTTTGGTCCCTCTGACTGATATACATTATTGGATTACAGTCGAGCTGGATGTTGGATGAGCTAGTTAGACCTATTTTATATACAGTTAGTTTAGTCTAGTTGTTCCCAACCTATGGAAAGGGTCACCTGATAAATCATATGGTCAAAAGATGACTAAAGACAGAAGTTTGTGTTTGTTTTGCATGTGTTCCATGTTTAGTGTCAGTCCTTGTTTCCTGTTTGGTTCTGTCTCTGTTCCCTGACCCTGCTTCTTGTTGCGCCAACAAAAAGTCTCTTGGCTCAGTGTGTTTGTCTGACTCGGATCATGACTGTTTAATCAGTCCACCTACAGGATCACCAACACCAAAGCAGCATCACTGATGGTCGAATAGTTTTTTTTAGATTCACTGAGACTTTATAATCTAAGCAATACACTTATATCTCTCACGTGTGACGGGATGTCGCAAGGGTTTTGATGTCTTTTTCGGGCCTACATGGAACCCTCCATGTACTGTGTTGTGTTAGGACACATTCACATATGAATATCAATGAATGCCAGAAAAATGTGGCAAATTGATACAAATGAAAATGTTGATAATCTAAATCTTTGTGTGTAAAGCGATTCTAAAGGCTGCAAAGAATAAAGCAAAAAACATAGAGTCTTAAATGATGGAGAAAGAACAGCAGTGAGAGATGAGGAGATGAGAGATGCTAGCAAAAGCTTTTATTAATCTTCACAGTCCAGATAATATTAGTGAAGAGGGGAAACTACAGTAATAGAGAATGAGGACCTATTATAGCACAAGGAAGACACCAACAACCTACCAAATAAGGACTAAACCGCACTCTCCAGAAAACCAAGATGTCCGTTACTATTAATACATCTTGGGCGATCACTGCCATTGCCACAGCATAACTCCTAAGTTAAAGAATTAATCAAATATTCTCTATAGCTATCACCCAAAGAGTGCTTTAAGTGGCAGCTAGAGCAGTCACTGTGCACTCTGCTTTGGGGACAAAAGCTGCTCCATTGTGTATCTCGTTCCCATGTTTAAATTACCTCATGTTTTAAGAATAATGAGAATAATATTCCATAGAATAGTGAAAATGATCTGTGATGAAGAATCAGCTCACACAGTTTAGCAGTTCAGCGGAAAGAGGAAACAACTTGAGAGCGATCATATGTTTAGACTCAAGTTCATCACTAACCAGTTTACAGAGCAGTCATTCAGACAGCAGATGAGACATTTAGACAGAAGTATAACAAATATTATACATAGTTCAAATGATGGGCATTGCAGTCATATTTTATGGATACCAGCACACACTGGCATCAAGGGAAATAGCAGGTTGCAAAGGAGGCCTATAAGGGACTATATCAAGGTAGCAGTTAACTTCAGTAAGACAGAAATGAAGAGCATTATTAAACACAAAATGAAAGAGGCAAAAGCAATGGGAGGAAGAGAGGAAGGATGGTGGTTGAGTTGAGTTGAGTTGAGAGGAGAGTAGGAGAAATTAGATATGCAGGAAGGAACAGGAGAGACGAGCCAATAGTGCATTATTCAATATTGGTCAGCATAACTCTGGCAGGTGTAACATAAGTGGGCAACAAGAGACACGTTATGGTTCACTGTCAGAAATATGAGGAAGAAAGAAGGCAGCTGATTCAGCTGTGAACCAAGTCCAGTTGCCCTTGATTTTTAACCTTCCTTGGATAACTATGACCTGGATGACTGAGAATCTTCATAGATATCTTTTAAGTGTATGTATCCCTGTATGTTGCATTGTTAATACTGTTATACTAATAAAGAAAAGAAAAAAACATATTTAATTTCCGTCACATAAGTCTTTCAGAGTCCTGATGGTTCACACTCCGGTCCAGCAGGTGGCAGCGCGCACATAACGTTGATTTATCTCCGAAGTGTACTTCCGGGTGGCTAACGTGCTAACGTTTCCGTCACCAAGATCCAGCTGGAGTTCAGCAGCAGAGCCTGCATGTGAGGATAAACGTGTTTAAGTGGACTCTGTTTAAACTTTCGGGATGTTTCACCTCAGACTCATCTCCTGTTAGCCAAGAATGCTAAAGGAAGTTAGCTTGTCAGCAGGAAGTAGCCGGAGCCGGAGCTCGGCCTCACAGTGTGTATTTTATCAGAGTGAGCTGCGTGTCTGTAACGGAGTGTGTCTGGAGGAAAAGCTGCTGTAAACATGTCTAAAGTCCAAACGCTGAGAGCTTTTGTCCAGCAGCGACTAAGTGCGGCTGCTGAAGAGATATTTGAGCTGTTTGAAAGAACGATAGCAGAGTACGAGGAGGAACTTTGTGGACAACGCAAACTACTGGACGCTGTTTTCAAGCCTGAAGTCCGGTTACACAGAGCAGGTTTGTGCACTTTACTGCTTATTCTCACTGAAACTGCCTTTACTGCAGTAAAAGTACTAATACCACTCTGTGAAAATACTCCACTGCCAGTAAAAGTCCTGCATTCAAACCCTGATGTAGGAATTATTTTCTTGCTGACCATTATTGAATATGGAAGATCAATCAATCAATGCTGTAATAAACTGTTTTATTTTATACTCTGTATGTAGTGTGGATAATGATAGTGTCTCCAGTTCAGACCTCATTAGTTCCAGGAAGGGTTAGTTTTAGGTCTCTGGACAGCAGAACAACTCTTCACTTGCCTAAAAAATAAAGCTTCACCTTCATCTACATCAGTAAAATCCTGCTTTCACTGTAAAGCTTCAAAACTAATTATCTGATTATATAGTATTTTATAGTATAACAGTCACAGGGGACATATTTCAGAACAATGAGTACTTACTCTAAGTATATTGTTCTTGTTTTATTGACTTTGTTACAAGTAAAAGTCTGCTGAGTATTTATACAACTTGATATTAGTACCGCGGGTAAAAGCGGCCAAAATGTTTCCTCAGGCGGGTGGCTGGTGTCTCCCTTAGAGATAGGGTGAGAAGCTCGGCCATCTGCGAGGAGCTCAGAGTAGAGCCGCTGCTCCTTTGCGTTGAAAGGAGCCAGTTGAGGTGGTTTGGGCATCTGGTAAGGATGCTTCCAGGACGCCTCCCTAGGGAGGTGTTCCAGGCACGTCTAGCTGGGAGGAGGAAGACCCAGGACTAGGTGGAGAGATTATATCTCCACACTGGCCTGGGAACGCCTCGGGATCCCCGAGTCAGAGCTGGTTAATGTGGCTCGGGAAAAGAAGTTTGGGGTCCCCTGCTGGAGCTGCTGCCCCCGCGACCGATCCCGGATAAGCGGATGAAGATGGATGGATGGTATTAGTACTTTTAATAGCTGCTAGTACAGAAAGTGTTACTACTTGTTTACACAATGGTATATTACCTGCTTACTGCCCCTGGGTTAGGACGTTGTTGTCATCAGTTATGGAAATGGATTGATTTGCATAACGTGCATCAAAGAGTCACAATGAAGAAAGGCCCGGTCTAAACTGGGAATACCCCGTATTGCTACACATACATGCTTTATGTCTCAGTTTAGATTTCCCCCGGTAAAGAGCAATAGACATAGAATAGAAGGTTTTCATTCCAACTGCCATCTCCTTTCTAAACTCAGTCCGGAGAAGCAGATAATCTATAATAATTTAATAATTGGTTTTACGAATGATAGGGCTGGACAATAAAAAATTACAATAATTATCACAATATCATTTTTTTGGAAAACAATATAACAAATAAATATTCAAGTAAATTTATTTTATTCACTTGAACCATACAAACTTATTTTTTATGAAGATTATTTTGTTGAGGAAAAAGAACTGAAAAAAGCTTATACTTAATTTTACTTATGCATACAGTGGATAGAAAAAGTCTCCACACCCCTGTTAAAATGCCAGGTTCTTATTATGTAAAATAATGAGACAAAGATAAATCATGTCAGAACTTTTTCCACCTATAATGTCAACAATTAAATTCAAAAACAATTTGAAATCTTCGAGGGGGAAAAATGAAAAATAAAACCTGCAATAACCTGGTTGCATAAGTGTGCACACCCTTAGACTAATACTTTGTTGAATCACCTTTTCATTTTATCAAAGCAGTCAGTCTTTTTGGGTAGGAGACTATTAGCATGGCACATCTTGAAGTGGCAATATTTGCCCAGTCTTCTTTGCAAAGCGTTCCAAATCTGTCAGATTGCGAGGACATCGCCTGTGCACGCCCTCTTCAGATCACCCCACAGATGTTCAATTGGATTCAGGTCTGGGCTCTGGCTGGGCCATTCCAAAACATTCATCTTCTTCTGGTGAAGCCATGCTTTTGTGGATTTGGATGCTTGGATGTTTTTCTTTGTAAGAAAAGGCTTCCGTCTTTCCACCCTACCCCATAGCCCATTCAGATGAAGAATACGGGAGATAGTTGTCACATGTACCACACAGCTAATACTTGCTAGAAATTGCTGCAGTTCCTTTAATGTTGCTGTAGGCCTCTTGGAAGCCTCCCTGACCACTTTCTTTTCGTCTTTTCATTAATTTTGGAGGGACGTCCAGTTCTTGGTAAAGTCACAGTTGTGCCATATTTTCTCCACTTGATGATGACTGTCTTCACTGTGTTCCAGGTTATATCTAATGCTTTGGAAATTCTTTTGTACCCGTCTCCTGACTTATGTCTTTCAACAATGAGATCTCTCTGATGCTTTGGAAGCTCTCTGCGGACCGTGACTTTTGCTCGGAGATGCATCTGAGAAAATATCAGGAAAATCCTACTAGAACAGCTGAGCTTTCTTTGTGATTAATCAGAGTCACTTTAAATGATGGCAGGTGTGTAATGACTTCTAGTTAACCTGAGTTTGAATGTGATTGGTTAATTCTGAACACAGCCACATCCCCAGTTATAAGAGGTTGTGCACACTTATGCAACCAGGTTATTGTAAGGTTTTTAATTTTAATTTTCCCCCTCGAAGATTTCAGTTTGTTTTTCTATGGAGTTGTTCACATTAAAGGTAGAAAAGTTTCTGACATGATTTGTCTTTGTCTCATTATTGAACCTGGCATTTTAACAGGGGTGTGTAGACTTTTTCTATCCACTGTATTAGTTGACAAAGATTGTTTCATATGTTTTGAATGTTCTATCTCAGATTTGTGAAGTGATCCCCTGTTTGGCATGAAGTGTTGACCATAAAGAAAAGTTTAAACCACAATTAACCATCAGGTTTCTTCAACTTTAACTCAGAAGCAAAAATCAGCCTTTAAACTTGAAAGAAATAACGATTTGATACTTATTGTGATAATTATCAATATCGAAAGATATGAAACTTTTTATCGTGATAAAAGTTTTGGCCATATCGTCCAGCCCTACGAATGAATGATGTTGATCATGATGATGATGATGATGATGGTGGTGATGATGAAGATGATTGTTGTGGAAATGTTCCCCTTTGTTGCCGTCTGTTGCTAACTATATTGTTTTTTGTTGTTGATGATGGATGAATGGATAAAATCCGGCTGAGGCACTGGGTGGGGATCTCTGGTACTGCCCTAGAATGGTTTTCATCCTACCTGTCAAATAGGAAGTTTTGCGTGTCTGTAAACAACTATGTCTCTTCGTTCTGTCCAGTTTAAATATGGTGTGCCTCAGGGGTCGGTCTAAGGACCCATTTTGTTTTCCTTGTATCTGCTTCCCCTTGGACATATTATCCATAAACATGGCATTTCTTTTCATATTTATGCTGATGACACACAAATATACTTGCCCGTCAGAACCACAGACCCTGGAATGCTGAGCTCACTTAACAACTGCCTTTGTGAAGTTAAAAAATGGATGTCAAATAATTTCCTCCAGCTGAACTCAGACAAAACAGAAATCCTGGTCATTGGGTCCGCTAGTAAATCACATTAAGCCTGTTGCAAAGAACCTTGGTGTCTGGTTTGATAGTAATTTAAATTTCGAGCAGCACACCACAAAGCTTGTTCAATCATGTTTTTATCAACTTAGAAATATATAAAATTCGATCTATGTTAACTTTTAAGGACACCGAGACCATTTTACACGCCTTCATCTCATCACGCCTGGATTATTGCAACAGCCTTTTTACCTGTTTAACCCAAAAATATATTGATGGACTCCAGACTGTCCAGAACTCAGCTGCCAGGCTTTTAACCAGAACAAAGAAATATGACCACATTACTCCTATTTTAGCTTCACTACACTGGCTCCCAGTATGTTTTAGAATTGACTTTAAAATTTTATTGATCACTTTTAAGCAATTATCTTAAGTCGCACCGGTAATATTTGCACATTTTATTTGAAGGAATACATTACCCTAATTCTAGTAGGTTATTTTACCACGTTTTAGAAAGTTTTGTATCGGTGGTTAAAATGTTAACAGGAAGTCAATTTTCAAAAATGTGTGTATGTATTTTGCTGTTTTTCAGGCATCCAGCTGCTGTTGGTGAATAAAGAAGAGGTTCCCACTGAGCAGCAGAAGTGGTGCACCAGTCTGAACCAGGAGGACCCACCAGAGCCCCCAAATACTAAAGAGGAGTGGCGTCCCAGTCTGGACCAGAAGGACCCACCAGAGCCCCCGCACATTAAAGAGGAGTGGAGCCCCAATCTGGACCAGGAATACCCACCACAGCCCTCACACATTAAAGAGGGATGGAGGCCCAGCCTTGACCAGGAGGACCCACCAGAGCCCTCACACTTTAAAGAGGAACAGGAGGAACTCTGGACCAGTCTGAAGGAAGAGCCACTTCAAGGACTAGAGGAGGCTGATATCATGAAGTTCACATTCACTCCTGTCCTTGTGAAGAGTGAAGAAGACAATGAAGAGGAACCTCAGCCTTCACAGCTTCATCAATTACTAACTGAACAGATAGAAACAGAAATTGATGGACAACTAGCTACTGATGACATAGTGTCACACTCTGAACCTGAGACTGATGACGAATGGGAGGAGACCGGGGAACATGAGTCAAACTCGCTGCAATACAATGAAGTAAGTGATGTGGAATGTATTACAGGAAAAACATCAAGTAGCTTCTCTGAATGTGCTACAGGCTTTGGCAACAAAGAACATCTGCAAGAACACAGTGGAGGCCAACAAGTAAAGAAACCATTTAGTTGTTCATTTTGTAAAAAAAGTTTTCAATGGAGAGCTGACATGGTGATGCACATGAGAATCCACACGGGAGAGAAACCCTTCAGTTGTTCTGTCTGTGGTAAAAGATTTGCACAAAACTCAAATTTGACCACACACCTGGGAGTTCATACAGGAGAAAAACCTTTCAGCTGCTCAGTTTGTAAAAAACCTTTTCAGCGAAGAGGAGATCTTGTGAAGCACATGAGAATCCACACAGGGGAGAAACCTTTCAGTTGTTCAGTTTGTGGTAAAGGATTTTCTGAAAGCGGAAGTTTGACCCAACACTTAAAAGTTCATACAGGAGAAAAACCTTTCAGCTGCTCAGTTTGTAAGAAAAGTTTTCATGGGAGAGGAGATGTTGTGAAGCACATGACAGTCCACACTGGGGAGAGACCCTTTAGTTGTTCAGTTTGTGGTAAAGGATTTGCACTAAACTCCAGGTTGACATTACACTTAAGAATTCATACAGGAGAAAAACCTTTCTCATGCTCAGTTTGTAAAAAAAGATTCAGTCAAAGAAGCCATTTGTCCAGACACATGAAAATCCACACAGGGGAAAAACCATTTAGTTGTTCGTTTTGTGGTAAAGCATTTTCAACAAGGGGACATCTGAGACAACACTTGATTGTCCACACAGGGGAGAAACCATTTAGTTGTAGTGTTTGTAATAAAACATTCACTCGGTTCGAGTATGTCAAATCACACAGGTGTGCTGGTGAGAGCAGTGGGAGTAAATGAAGCTGCAGAGATGCTGGTTGAGCCGATTTCTTACAGCAGGACTGAAGTACTGAGGGCAAGACTTGGCTCAACACTGATCAGTTCAAAACTGTTTTTATCTGGCACATTATTTGGTTGTTTTCCAGGTGATATTTGGTATAACATGAAATTGAAATGGATCAAAGTATTTATGTCACCTGTACTGCACTATGGTCAACATGTTGCTTTAAATGTGATTTATAAATGAAATGACCAGACTTACCTCCAAACAACACAGTTAATTTTTTAATTGAATGGACTCCTGGTCTTGAATTGATCTCAATATGTGTAAAACGGCAGTTTTGTTGACTCTTAAGCTGCTCATACTACTGTATATTAGTGGTATTTTGGTCAGATCATTTTAGAGAAACTTTGTTGGATTTAAAATAGAGGTTCGGGTTTATTGCAGTTGTTTTGTCGCATCAACAAACCTCATATTGGCTATCTAGACAGATCCTTCTGCCTCGGCTGAACAAGGAAACACTCTGTGGAAACAAAGGGAGTTTTGTAGAAAATAGATCAAGTTTGGTTAACTTACCCTGAACTTCACAATGCATTTTCTCCAGATCCAACCAGGACGGTTTCATGTCCCTCACAGTCAGTCTGTCCTGCCTCTTTAGCTTTATACTTCAGATTGGAGCTTTGAAGCCTCATTTCAGCTCTGGGAAACATTTCCTTTAATGATCAGCTACAAGTCATTAGTAAGAAATAAGTAGACGATGATAACCTGTCATTAACAAACTGGTTTCTCTGTAGAACATTCCTTCCTACCAGCTCATTCCAGTTTGTTAAACAGTCTGGTTTTCTTTTCTTCAGATATCTTCCTGTAAATTAAGAATATTCTGACTTATTTCAGGCGTTGTTTTTTTTTTTTAACAAAGTGTTGTTTTTCTTGATTTTCTATTGATTTATGATGTGAATTCATTGTAAACCTTTTGTAAATCATTAAGAGTTACTAATTAAATGTGGAATGCTTAAATGATGTTGACCCGCCTTGCCTCATTCAGCTCCTTGATTGAAGTACCTGCCTCAGCTCTCCCATAACCAAGACAATTTTACTCATTTGTCAATAATCTCTTTTGCATCTAGTCCTCGTGTCAGTCTGTGTTCTCTTGTTGAGTTTACACTGCTAGCCTACGTAACCAAGACCTTAATTACTATTTCAGTTCTTGTGTGACTCTTTTGTCCACAGAGTGTTTTTATATTTATTTTAAGTTAATCTCTACTCAAGTAATTTTTTGTATTGGAAAATATTTTTGTATTCTTACTCCTTTTAGTTATTTTGAGTCCCTCTTTTCCTTCTACTTGAGTACTTGTTTTTGTAAAGTAACATTACTTTTATTCGAGTACAGTTTTGGCTTCTCTGACCAGGAACTTCACACCTGGAGGAAATAAAAGAGAAACTCACAAAGTGTAAATATTAACATGAAAATATTTTCATTTCACTTGATTCTGTATTTTATACATAATTTGGTATAAATCAATAAATTGAATTCAATATTAATAGTTGAAGTTATTCATGATGGTCCTTTTATGAGTCCTCCATGCATGCCAAAGTTAGTCATGGAGTTCCTCAAGGATCTGTCCTCGGACCAATCCTCTTCGCTTTATATATGCTTCCTTTAGGCAATATTATCAGGAAATATTCCATAAGCTTTCATTGTTATGCAGATGATACTCAGTTATATCTATCGATCAAGCCAGATGAAACTCATCAGTTAGCTAAACTTCAAATGTGCCTTCAGGATGTTAAAACCTGGATGACCTGTAATTTTCTAATGTTAAACTCAGATAAAACTGAAGTTATTGTTCTGGGGCCTAAGCACCTCCGTGACGCATTATCTAAAGATATAGTTTCTCTTGATGGCATCGCCCTGGCCTCCAGCACCACTGTGAGGAATCTTGGAGTTATCTTTGATCAGGACATGTCGTTTAAGTCTCACATTAAGCAAATTTCAAGGACCGCCTTTTTTCATCTACGTAATATTGCGAAAATCAGGAACATCCTGTCTAGAAATGATGCAGAAAAACTAGTCCATGCATTTGTTACTTCTAGGCTGGATTACTGCAATTCCTTATTATCAGGCTGCTCGAAAAAGTCCGTTAAGACTCTTCAGCTGATCCAGAATGCTGCAGCACGTGTTCTGACAGGAACCAGGAAAAGAGATCATATTTCTCCTGTTTTAGCTTCTTTGCATTGGCTTCCAGTAAAATCCAGAATAGAATTTAAAATCATTCTTCTTACCTACAAAGCTCTTAATGGTCAGGCACCATCTTATCTTAAAGAGCTCATAGTACCTTACTACCCCACCAGAGCACTGCGCTCCCAGAATGCAGGGTTACTTGTGGTTCCTAGAGTCTCCAAAAGTAGACTAGAGCGTTAGCACCAGCGTCTACTGCGCATGATCACACAGCATAACTGTGGTGTAATGACGTAGAGCAATGGCAGAAACACCGTAATTCTGGTAGCTGCCTGGTTGCGCCAACAAAAAGTTTAACTTTTAATTTAAATGTACTGCTATATACACAAAAGTGCAATAACATGTGGTTTGCAAACACTTTAAACAAATAATGTGCTTTTTACCAGCAGTATTCCCTTTACACAGCAGCATCAAAATATTTCTTGTAAATCCGAAGCCTCCCTCCGCTGTTTGTTTGGGTGGGTGATTTGCAGGGTGATCAACATCCCCCCTCCTATGACCTGTGGTTTGACTGTATTCAGAGCCAGTGAGCAACGCACTTTCAAAATAATAATTTTGTTTAAACTGCATTAACATGCGATAAAGTAATTGTCTCATTAATGAATTAATGTGTTAACGCGATAATAATGCGTTAATGTGCGCAGCCCTAAAAATAATATATCATGCCAACAATAAACATAAATGGCTCCTACACAAGCAGCGGGAGAACATCCCAAGTTTGTGAACTGCATCGCTGTTTCTCCTCATTTGCAAGGAAACCATGTGAGGAGAGAAGAAACTAGGACACGATACAGAGCACTAGGACTTAGTGTTGGAGCAGGCAAAATCTTGACCATAACTGCTTTTAAGGAGAACAGAGTTCTCACTAACATACTGGATCAAACTTCAGGGAGGAGGAAACGGAAACTTCAGCATCAGCTGTTCTGCAGAACTATTGGGAGAACATGACATACTCTGGTAAACACATTAGATACTAGACAACTCAGTCCAGCAATTATTATTAGTAGTAGTAAATATTATAAAAGAGTAGAGAGTGGACAGAGAGGAGTTTTAACATTGTGTACTTGGTTCAGGAATATTTGAAGAATAGCTGCTATCATTAACCCACTGCAGAAAATCAGGAGTAAAGACACAAAGTTTTGAAATTATTACAAACTTCTAAAGTCTGTCAGAAGGTTACATAAAACCCCTATTACTTTCCGAAAGAAAGATATTAGTTTTTCTAAGTTAAGATGAGGACACACAGCGCTCAGAGCTACTTTGTAAACCATGAAAAAGACAATTAGATAAATGTGAGACTGTAAGGAATCTGTTGAACATGTACTGATGGGCTGTAGGAAATCTAATATAGAAAGAGAACGACTGTAGTGCAGGGTGGTAGATATGGGAAGGGAGTGGATCGATAAGCAGAGATAGCATGGGTGCATGGGGGCGGCCAACCAGATATAAGCTTTGCAGTCCATTGTCCCCAATGGACTGCGAAGCTTATATCTTTTGAACACATTATATTATAGAAGGTGTGCAAAAGCATGAGTCACTTTGCCAATAAAGAGATCATATCTGAAACGTAACAGTCACTTCACTCCTGGTGTCAATGATAAGCCAGCAAAAGAATAACCATTACATTCAGCAAAAACACTAACGTATATTCTAAGCAGACACATTTAAAAAAACATAAATCATAGAGTAACGTTTATATAATACGTTAGCCTACGTTGAAATACAAATTGTATTTGTATTTGATTGTTTGCCCTACTAGCCTGATACTGGCTAACGATAAGGCAAGCAGAGATCGAGCCTAGAAAAACTCACCAGAGGAGGAGCTATTTCAGAATCAGAATCAGAATCAGAATCAGTTTTATTGCCAGGTATGTGTGCACATACGAGGAATTCAACTCAGTATTGTACATTGCTCACGATGCTTACTCATACAAAAATACTATAACACAATAAATAAATAAAATCAGACACAAACTACAGTGTAGACAACACTAACATTCACACTATGAACAAAACAATATAGACATATTGACAAATAGTGCAGTGATCAGAGTGCAAAGGATGCAAGAGTAAACTATTATTCTCATTATGTACATGTTGAAGGTGGATATGATATACAGGTACACATACATGTACACATGTACACATGTACACAGTGTGATGGAGCATAGTGCAAAGGATGCTGGAAGAAATAAATAAGACCTATGACCTTATGACCTGAGGTAGGTGTATTGGTATACAGTATATACAATATGACATAGTATGAACAGCACTGAAATAGAGAATGGTGAATAAATAAATAATAAGTGGAAACCAGTAAACAGGTGCTGATTAGAGACAGAGTTACTGGGTTATTGCACAGGAATTGTTCCTGACACTGTGAGTCAGAAATCAGCTGTTCATCAGAGTGATGCCTTGTGGGAAGAAACTGCTTCTGAGTCTGTTGGTTTTGGCGTACAGTGCTCTGTAGCGCCTACCAGAGGGGAGGAGCTGGAACAGGTTGTGTCCGGGGTGAGATGGATCTGCAGTGATGTTTCCTGCCCGTTTCCTGACTCTGGAAATGTATAAGGACGCAGAGGATGACCAGAGGCGAGGGCAACGAGGACGCAGAGGATGACCAGAGGCGAGGGCAACGAGGACGCAGAGGATGACCAGATCCCGGACAGCAGACGGCGCTTTAAAAACAGTTGTTTATTTTCACATCCTCTATGTTTTTGTGGGGCAGTCTGAAAGTTGATTTTGGGACTTCAAAACAATGGGCAAACTGTTCGCAATACTTTGCCCACAGAGGTTTGAGCACCCAGAAGCTGAGGAGAAAATGAGAAAATGAGAAGACATACCCAAACCAGAGGACGCAGTGGACAAGTTTCGCTCATTTTGTGCATTGTGTTCCGAGTTAGACATGGATCTTACCACCTGCCATTCCTTATTACCAACAACATGGATTGAGCGTACCCACATCTGACCATTCTTCACAGGATTTATAAAACCATTCCCATCAGCAGCAGCACTGCAGAAAGAAGTTTCAGCCATCTGCGGCTCATTAAGAACTATTTGCTGCATGGATGAGGCTGTCAAATCTCACCTTGCAGTGTGTGGAGCGGGACATAAATTTTGACAAGGACAAAGTGGTTGGCAGGTTTGCCACCATGAAGGAGAGGAGCATGAAAATGTAAAAAGGGACAATGATATGTATATAGTTTTGTTCGGATTATTTGTGCTGGATGATCGTTAAGTGGACCAAACCAGTGGACAGAGAAGGCCCTGCTCAGCAGGGACAACAATTGGTAAGACAAAATTTTGTCTTTAATTATTAACATTTCAGTTATGAAGATGTCACTTAGAATTTTAGAGAAATCTGTTGCTTACTGCATCTTGGACCTGTAGCCTATGTGTCTCCACACGTGTCTCTTTATGTTGTGTGCCACTGATTGAGAGAGTGTAGCCTACTTGGCGTGTTCAGCATGCACCAATCCTGTCGATCAGCTGTCGCTGTTCGCCTGTCAGCACGGCGCTGTCCTTGGTGCTGAAATATTTTTACTTGACATGCAAGTTGGCTTTGTTCTACAACGTTGTCTCACAGTGTGGTTTTTCTATATGTTTTATTTGACAAAGGCTTTCTTGGCTCAACAAGTGACACATTTTAACATATTTATCAGTTCTTTTACGTTTTATTTTTAACCATTTTAATTGTCAACTTAAACTTCGTAGAAGTTGGGCCCTGTGATGAAGCTCTGCCCTCACTGTGCTGTGAGTCTAGCTCGCCCCCCGAGTGGAGCATCAAAGGTCTGTTAGAAACAGGAGATAAACAGTCACAGGTTCAAATAAATTTATGTCAACATTTCACTCAAACAGATTTAATTTCCGTGAAATAACTTAAATGAAATTTTTGTCCTGATGCCCCGATTTTAAAATCCTGATGTTACCCACTCCGGTCCAGCAGGTGGCAGCACGCACCTTTAACGTTGATTTATATCCGAAGTTCCACTTCCGGTGGCTAACATGCTAACTTTGGTAACTATGGTAACTTTTTCTGTCACCGTGAGATGCAGCCGGAGTTCAGCAGCAGAGCCTGCATGTGAGGATAAACGTGTTTAAGTGGACTCTGTTTAAACTTTCGGGATGTTTCACCTCAGACTCATCTCCTGTTAGCCAAGAATGCTAAAGGAAGTTAGCTTGTTAGCAGGAAGTAGCCGGAGCCGGAGCTCGGCCTCACAGTGTGTATTTTATCAGAGTGAGCTGCGTGTCTGTAACGGAGTGTGTCTGGAGGAAAAGCTGCTGTAAACATGTCTAAAGTCCAAACGCTGAGAGCTTTTGTCCAGCAGCGACTAAGTGCGGCTGCTGAAGAGATATTTGAGCTGTTTGAAAGAACGATAGCAGAGTACGAGGAGGAACTTTGTGGACAACGCAAACTACTGGACGCTGTTTTCAAGCCTGAAGTCCGGTTACACAGAGCAGGTTTGTAGTCACTACGAAGACTTATTAACTTCAGGTGTAACTTCCTGATTAGCCCGTACTACAAAAGGTACAAATGTTTAACTAGCTACTTCTAAGCTACTTTTATTTTTTTAATATCTTATAGTTAGATGTGTGTGTGTGTGTGTGTGTATGTGTATATATATATATATATATATATATACACACACACATACCAACATTCCACAGTAGCAAAAGAAGAAAGACTAAAAACCTGCTCCAAACAGTGTGTGAGAGATAAATCAAACACACAAACACTCTTGCTTGCTGCCATATCATTGCAGCTAAATGTAATTCCTCATGCAACAAACTGAGAACCATTGTTGTTTGTATAAAGTTACTTAATTTACACCTTATTATCATTAATATTGTTTTGTTATTTCAATAATTGTCCTTTGAAAAATTGTACTCCTTGTCAAAAAGCAAGACATATTTTCATTGTAACATAGACCTATATTGTGTTTTTATTCCTCTTTGTTTAGGTTTTATAATGTCATTTCATTGCTTATTAATTATATATTTTTTATTGTTTATATGTGAATTAGCAACCTAAACAACATAATCATTCATGGCAATAGGCCTGAGAGAGAGAGAGAGAGAGCTCATCTCATCTCAAGGAAACCAGTTTCTGCCACCACATATCAAAGTTTCCTCCTCACTAGAGGAAGAGGTGTCCAGGCTGGACCCTGATCCTTCTCACAAGAGGTGTTACAATAACTATTACAATAGAAAGTAAACTCAGTCGTGCGCGTCTTTAGTCGCAGACATCAGCCCAAGGATCGGTACGTGATGTCACCGTCACAGGAAGCGCTTCTGCCGGCTGCACGTACAGGTCCGTGTGTGGAGGTGGCGTCACTTACTGATCCTTCAGAAATGCTTGTGAAAATGTAGCGTGTGTGGAAGCTACCGCGCTGCTTTATTACTGAAAAGCTGTTTGATTCAGAAAACAGCGACGCTGCCACCAAGCTACTGAGATCTTAAGTTAAGATAGGAAGAGTCTAAGATAGGATTTTTCTTAATTTGGTATTACATAACCAAATCCTAACTAACCTTAGGAATCCTATCTTATCTCCGGTTAGGAAATCCTAAATACTCAATCCAACATCGGTTATCGGTTATCAACTTTTATGTCTGTTACCTGTCACTTTTCTCATTTCACCGAGCTAAACGGTATTTTTTTTTAATGAAACATACCCTGAACATGGAGCAGAAACAACAACTATCATTGAACTTCAAGTCAGATGACTTAGAGGTGTTGGTAATGTTGAATAATTCCTTTGTTTACTTTGTTGGTTTGCTGTATTTCATCTAAACCTTTATTATGATATCCTAGTGGTGCTGTATTACTCAGAAGTGCATTTAGCGCAGCCGTTGGGAGAATGACTGTGGTCTCACTGGGTAAAGGTGTTGACCACTAATGTCATTCTTTCAATGTAAGGTTTGACTACTGAGTGTGTAAGTATTCTATTCTTAAGACTTAAAGGATTATATTCTGTGTGTTATTCATGAACCAGGCAGAATAAGCAAAACCTAGCCGACCGAAGGACATAATAGCAGTAAGGCACCTGCTGCAAGTCACGTACACATGAGATCATGGCATACTGTGAATGATGTCGACTGTAAGAAACAAAGCTTTGTAAAGGACACGGCGCTACATGCTCATGTTTGATATGTTGAATCATGTTATACATTTATCAAGTATGTTATTCCCTATTAATTCTTTAAAAAAATAATTGTAAGTGTTTAAGTTTGAATGGTGTCAAATTATGCCTGTATAACTTTAAAAAAATACGGTGAGACTGAAGTTGAAACAAATTGGTGAATATATATATATAATGTTAAAATATAAAAAGGATAAATTATAACAATAATTATGATAACAGCAAAAAAGTGGTAACTTTGACATTAGTGAAAGGGTTAAATTGGTAAAACAGTACATGAAAAGGGCCACTAGATGGCAGCAGAAGATAAATCATCATCATTGGAAGGGAGTGGTCAGCGAACACTATAGGCGGAGACGAATGAAAGGTAAATATAAGGCATGTTCGCTGACCACCAGTTCAGTTTAACTTTCACTTTAAATTATGTTACATAATGAGACATAATCCAGCATTACATCGCCTACAGCCTTTCTACTAACGAGTGTTTTGTCATCAAACACATTGTTAGAATCAATTAAGTTCCGCCTGTTTACATTTGGTTGATTCTGTAAAAGCAATAAAAGAGCAACAATGTGGATTAAACGAGTTAGCAAACACTACCTGGTGGAAAAGTAAAAGTTATGACAGCTTAACAGTTCTCCTAAAGTTAGGAGAGTTTAAGATTTTATGAAGTTAGGATGCTTCTGTAATACACTTTTCTTATCTAAAGTTAGGAAAGCTATTTTATCTTAGGAACTGTTGATCTGTAATGGCCTTTTTCCGAAATCAGTTCCTTACCCATAAGGGTACCATGGTTACCAAGCAGTTGGGATATGATCTGCCGGTTAGGAAGTTTCTGTTATACGGCCAGTCTCCACCTTGTGTTCGCTGACCACGCCCCTTCCTAATGGTTAATTTCATACCCTCTGCTGCCATCTTGTGGCCGTTAACATGTACTGTTGCATAATTTGACACCATTAAAACTCTAAACACACAATTGTATTTTTAAAAAAGATTAATAAAAGAATAACATAGGTTAACACATCAAACATAGATATGTAGTGCTGTATCTTTCACAAAAGCTTGGTCTCTTACAGTAGTCTCAGCACAGTGTGCCTGTCATGATCTCATTTCAGGCGTACATGACCTGCAGCACGTGTCTTACTTCGATGACTCATTCATACTGCTACATTGTATACTATCAGATCCTTCTGTAGACCTTAGCTGCATCTTATCTCCCTTTAAACCGACAGTACCTATCGTGCGCTAGCTAGGTTTTACATACTGTACATGGCGTAGGTCCATTTGCATGGTCACAGTCAGGCGAGGCTAGGTTTTGCATATTCTGCCTGAGCAGCTTCTCTTCTCATGTAGGGACATTGAAAGGTTACAAGTTCACTCAAAGTTTACACAGAATATAGTAGTCAAGGTTAAAGGTTTAAAAGTTAAATAATAGTAGTCAAACCTCAAACCCTAAATCAAAAGAATAACATCAGTAGTCAAACCTTAACTCAGTGATCAGACTACAGTCATCCTTCTAATGACTACAGCATTTCTACAGAAGAATAAAACACTTCTAGGTTAAATAGCACTTCTAGGTCTCAAATAATAAAGTAAACAACATTTAACACAACACATCTCTATTGTAATATGGCATCAGTCCTTCCTCTTGTCCTTCTCCCTCTCCGCTGTGATTCACTACAGGTAATATTTGTGCCAAAGGTTCAGTGTGTAATATTTCTGAGGATCTATTGACAGAAATGCTCTTATAAGATCCATAACTATGTTTTCAGTGGTTTCTAAAGACCTTATATAATAAACCATTAGACCTTAGAATGAGACATTTATGACAGGGCACCCATTTCCATGGACGTCGCCACGTTGCATCGTCATATTTCTACAGTAGCTGAAAACGGACAAACAGCGCTACAGTTTCCTCACTATGTTCTTCTTCTACTTCTTCTTATGCTACTACAATTCAGGCAGTGCAGACACTCATCACTATGTTGAATACGTACATTAGAAGAAAAAAAAGTAGTAGTAATAATACAGGTGCTGGTCATATAATTAGAATATCATCAAAAAGTTGATTTATTTCAGTAATTCCGTTCAAAAAGTGAAACTTGTATAATTTATAATTCATTCCACACAGACTGATATATTTCAAGTGTTCATTCCTTTTAATTTTGATGATTATAACTATAACTAATGAAAACCCCAAAATCAGAATCTCAGAAAATTAGAATATTGTGAAAAGGTTCAATATTGACAGCTGGTGCCACACTCTAATCAGCTAATTAGCACAAAACACCTGCAAAGGCCTTTAAATGGTCTCTCAGTCTAGTTCTGTAGGCTACACAATCATGGGGAAGAACGCTGACTTGACAGCTGTCCAAAAGACGACCATTGACACCTTGCACAAGGAGGACAAGACACAAAAGGTCATTGCTAAAGAGGCTGGCTGTTCACAGAGCTCTGTGTCCAAGCACATTAATAGAGAGGCGAAGGGAAGGAAAAGATGTGGTAGAAAAGTGTACAAGCAATAAGGATAACCGCACCCTGGAGAGGATTGTGAAACAAAACCCATTCATAAATGTGGGGGAGATTCACAAAGAGTGGACTGCAGCTGGAGTCAGTGCTTCAAGAACCACCACGCACAGACGTATGCAAGACATGGGTTTCAGCTGTCGCATTCCTTGTGTCAAGCCACTCTTGAACAAGACACAGCGTCAGAAGCGTCTCGCCTGGGCTAAAGACAAAAAGGACTGGACTGCTGCTGAGTGGTCCAAAGTTCTGTTCTCTGATGAAAGTCAATTTTGCATTTCCTTTGGAAATCAAGGTCCCAGAGTCTGGAGGAAGAGAGGAGAGGCACAGAATCCACGTTGCTTGAAGTCCAGTGTAAAGTTTCCACAGTCAGTGATGGTTTGGGTGCCATGTCATCTGCTGCTGTTGGTCCACTGTGTTTTCTGAGGTCCAAGGTCAACGCAGCCGTCTACCAGGAAGTTTTAGAGCACTTCATGCTTCCTGCTGCTGACCAACTTTATGGAGATGCAGATTTCATTTTCCAACAGGACTTGGCACCTGCACACAGTGCCAAAGCTACCAGGACCTGGTTTAAGGACCATGGTATCCCTGTGCTTAATTGGCCAGCAAACTGGCCTGAACCCTATAGAAAATCTATGGGGTATTGTGAAGAGGAAGATGCGATACGCCAGACCCAACAATGCAGAAGAGCTGAAGGCCACTATCAGAGCAACCTGGGCTCTCATAACACCTGCTGCAGTAATTCAGGCAAAAGGAGCCCCAACTAAGTACTGAGTGCTGTACATGCTCATACTTTTC